CATCATCCAGGAACAGATACTGGCATACAATATTTTCGGATCATACAATAGTTGGTCCATATATTGTGCACAAGTGATCATACTTGGAGACCGGTTCTGGTTTTCAAATAGCAATCTGCCGAGGTGTAATTTTTTCAGCGTATCTTCTCATTCATTCCTGCTGGGATGAAAAAGCCCAGCCTGCTGTTTCCCCTTGTACCAGCCATTGTTCTTAGACCAGTCCTTGCAGCCTTGCTTCCTCTCCGCTGCAGTGGTCTAAGGTCCCTGATTCATGTTCTTTACACAGTGTATAGGACATGAGGATGTGAAGGGACATTCCATCACTGGAGCATAGGAGGAGACAGCCTGGAGGGAGCCCCGTCACAGCTGGCCAGCTCAGAGGATCGGGGAAGTATAAATGTATTTTCTTCCCTAGACCAAAATGAGAAGTTTAACCCTTGCAGTGCAGGGGTAGCCCTACTGCAAGGGTTAACAAATAGTTTGCCTTGCGTTCATCTCGTTTCATTTATTTTTTTCTGTGATAATTTTGGTATCCAGTAACTCTTGCTAAACCTTGCGCCACATTTAGACTGAGAGATTCTAGAGACAAGTGCATTATATGTGTAGAACAATTGATAACAATGGAAATCATGAAGTAAAGCTTATTCTACGAATGAATCTCAAATATTTTCTTACCAGTCCCGTCTGTTTTGTCTTTGGTCCAAATTCCTAAATTCTCCCATATATACTTCTCTGTGCCTAATATGGAACATACACCAGCAGGGCTGCATTATGCAAACCCATCATGCCACTATGGAAACCAACAATCTGCCTATGGGGTGATGACAGGTAAGTACCTTTTTCATTTATCTTTAATAATGAAATAATTTCATTTATTATTCATTTATTTATTGCTTCAGAATGAGAAACATTTAATTTCAGTCTAAAAAGATATCATGTAAATAAAAATATTAGCACTGTTAATTGCTGTCTTGTCAAATGCTTGACCTCATGCTTATAAAGCACTCTATCTTCCAGCTCCCGAGGGGGTATAAAATAAATTCGTACTGTATGTAAGAGAAATATAAACAACTATAGAATTATGAGATTGTGTACTCTGGTATATACACCCAGGAACATAGGAGGCAGGGATTGTTATCAGCATCAGGCCAAGCAGGTTGTGATTTTATCTGACAATACACGTTTTTCAAATTCCAGGTATAAATTGGGAGTGTGTATAGGAACCTTTGAAGAAATAAAAGGGTCTTTTTTAGTTTTGGTAGGTAGAATTATAAAGAATTTTGCCAAAGTGCTCAGCAGCACAAACACTATTGGCTGGTCTCTATGTGACTTGCTGTCCTTAGATTTCAATATCTCTCTATAGCAGGGACATGCGGTCAGGGGAGGCAGGTGAGACCTCACCTAGTATTATGGAAGAAAAAGCTGTCACCTTCAAGTCTGAAGCTGACAGCTTTTTCTCCATTCAGATCGGCTTGTTACAGGTTACACAGCAGGGAAAGCCTCCCCACTGTGTAACCTGTCATGGACGGAGCGCTGCCTGTTAATTACACGCAGTGCTGCATCCAGCTTTTGACAGGTAGTTAGGTTACACAGCAGCGGGCTTCCCCACTGCTTGTGTAACCTAACTTGGTGAGGCAAGAGCTGTCACAGCCTCTACTCTGTGTTAGAGGCATGAGCTCTGCGGATGGCTTGGACCAATGACAAAGCGGCATTGGTCCAAGCTGTCCAATCAAAAAAAAGTTAAAAAAAAACTGTGAGGACATCGATCTCGATGCCTCACCAATGATTTACCAGTGACAAGCAAGTGAGGGACAGGGAGGCTCCTCCCTGTCTCCTCCCTTCCACCCCCCCCCCCATACTGCTTGGTTACCGAGCTGGGGGTGGGGCTTTGGCGGGACAGGGCGGAGCTTCGGCAGGCTGGGGGATGCCTCACCCAGCACAGAAGGCACGTTACTGCTCTATAGCACTCATAGCATGTTCAAAACCTTTTATTATAAGTGCTTGTTCAGCAAGTGCTAGAAAATAGACATGGAGTTGGTACACAAATGGCTATAAAAACATAACATTTACAACTAAAATTTATAATCGCCACAATGCAGAGAAAAATCTATTTTCATATAACTAATTATAAGGATAAAATAAATGATGTTTTCAAATTATGGTAACAAAACGATAGGAAATATATAAAATGATGCTGGTCAGAAATTATAATTGATACAAGGGCTTTTATAGCGGTTCATGCAGAGAACCCATAGAAGAAGGTTTCAGACTTAGATACACTTAAAAAAGTGAGCAGATAGGAAAGACAAGATGTGTATATGGGATTATTGCAAGAAATTAATGAATGACTGCTATTGGCTGTCAAACCGATCAAACCTTTTAGCAATTTGTGGGTCGCATACGAGATAACATTTGACTTGTTGATATATTGATCACTGAATAAGCCCATTGGGAGGACATTTTTGTATTTAAATGCATTGATAAAAATTCAATTGTGCTGATTCTTTCCAGGACTTAAACCCACTTCTCCAGAGATGCTATCTGCAAGTATTTCACAAACAAGAATTTTACAAACATGCAGCATGCCCCTATCCAATGTGGTTAATGGAGTAGGTACTTTACAAGGTAAGTTGTTTTAATTCACACTTTCATAGGGACAATAAACGTTAAAGGAGAACTATGAGGTGAGTGATTTTCACTCACCTCATAGTTCTAGCCGACCTGTGACAATGAGACTGTCACAGGTCGGCTCAGTAGATCGGGAGGTGAGCGAACACATACCGGGTTCGCTCACCTCTCGATCCTGTCACGGCTCTCTGCCGTGACAGGTGGAGGGGCTGGATTCCCCTCTCCGATCTGCCAGTGCTGACTGGCAGAACGGACGGGGGAGGGGGTGGGTACAGCTGGCTCTGCCTCTAGATAGGCAGAGCCAGCTGTCACTCACGCAGCTGGGCAGATCCCGACGTCCAGGTCGGGATCCGCTCCGGCTGCGGGGTCTAGATAGGCAGAGCCCGCTGTCACTCACGCAGGTGGGTGGATTTGGAAAGCATTGAGGGGATCCGTCCCGGCTGCGGCAGTCTCAGTATACCGTGAGCTGTAGCCCGCGATATTCTGAGCTTTGGGTAACGGGAGGACGCTAGTTTGTGTCCTCCCGTTACCCTAAGGAGAACTATGGGGAAAAACACTGACCCTATAGTTCTCCTTTAAAATGTACATTACATGCATAGTTCTACACCTGCTCAGTCTATACTTAGTAAGTTCAGTGGCACTGAGGTGCAGGTCTTAGGCATGTTGGCATCCTCAATACTGCACGCTATGCTGCTAAATTATTATTTCAAATTAGTACAGAATAAAAGATAGAAGATAGATAGATAGATAGATAGATAGATAGATAGATAGATAGATAGATAGATAGATAGATAGATAGATAGAGGGTCATGTGAAAAAGAATGCCCCCCCCTCTTTGAATTCTATTGTTTTAAGTATCAGAACATAATGAAAATCATCTGGTCCTTAGCAGGTCCTAAAATTAGATAAATACAACCTCAGATGAACAACAACACATGTCAGATTCCTGGCTACCCTTCCAAACAAGACATACTTGCTCTGTCTTCTTCTAATTGTACGGTCATGAACTTTAACATTTAACATGCTAACTGAGGCCTGCAGAGTCTGAAATATAAAGGTGGCCATACACTTTACAACCCTCGCAAGACTTTCGTCTTGCGAGGGTTGTAAAGTACTTAAAAAAACGTACGATCTGCCCAAGTGGTCACACTTGCTGATGAACAATGAATCAAGGGAATTTGATTAGCAGCATCTGGCTGCTACTTAGCATTTTAATTCATATGGAAACAGTAAGGGTGTACTTAGTTTTTCCACACATAATTTATCCATTTTGGCTTTATGTTTGTAAAATAAACAATGTCACTGTTTAATATGTGTTGTTGTTCACCTGAAGTTGCATTTACCTAATTTTAAGACCTGTTAAGGACAAGATGATTTTTAATATGTCCTGATACTCAAAACCAAAGAACTCAAAGAGGGTGTACTTTCTTTTTCACATGACTGTAGATAGATAGATAGATAGATAGATAGATAGATAGATAGATAGATAGATAGATAGATAGATAGATAGATAGATAGATAGATAGATAGATAGATAGATATATAGATAGATGGATTTGTAT